CTATTGTTAGTTGTGCCTCAACCATAAATTTTACACAGAGCTAAGTAATAAAAATGACAGCTTTGCTTTCTGAGGAAGACCCCTTCAAAGGCTAGCATTTGCTAAGTAATAAAAATGACAGCTTTGCTTTCTGAGGAAGACCCCTTCAAAGGCTACTAGTAAATGCTTTTGTCAGTAAGTTGCTGGCTGTTAGTTAAGATATTGCATCCACTTAAGTTTTCCCCCCTCTTGTGCAACATGAATTCTATGCTAATTATAACTCTTCCTATTTATCATTATTATGCCCCAACTACACACACCAAATGAATTCAAACTGAACGTTTAATTATAGGGAAAAAAGATAAATATATCCCTGAACTATCGTTAATAATATGCAGATACCTTCCGTCATACTTTTGGGACATTGGTGTTCCTGTCGTCTAAAAACTAGAGCATATATACCCTTTATACTAACGGACATACACGTGCTATAATCTTATCCACCGACCAGACATTTATTAAATATCGTATCGACAGATAAAATTGTGTCACGTGTCCCTAGTTAATCTTCCGTTAGAGTGAAGGGCATATATATTCTAGTTTTTGGATGGCAAGGACACCAATGTCCTAAAAGTATGACGGAGGGTATCTGCATACCATTTACGATAGTTCCAGAGTATATTTGTCCTTTTTCCCTTAATTATATGGTGGGGACCTACCAAAATCGAAACTCTTCTGAGGTTAATTACTCTTCTGTTCATAAATCTAAGGGAAAAGGGACGGATTTACCCCCAAATTTTAATAAATGGTATGTATATGCCTTTCGTTATACTTTGCGTCCACATAAGCCCCTGCCGTCCAATTATAGGTACACATATACCCCTCTCACTAACGGACCCCTATTTTTTTACACGTGTCTTAATCCTAGTGAACTACCCATTTGACCACTTTTTTTAACCCATAACCCAACTATCCGCCCCATAACCCAATACTCACCCAATTTCCTCTAAAATGAATCATAATTAAACCCAAATTAATACTATTGGTCCCCACCCGATTTTTGAATTGTGTAACTTAAATGAAAAACGTGTCATATAATGTATTAACGTGTTTTTAAAATTTTGTGATAAGTTGAAATTAAAGAATTATTTATTCATATTAATGCTTAAAAGAATATGGTGGAAAATTATACGAAACAACAAAAATGAAGTGAAAGAATAGAGTAATTTCTCATCGCCAAAATGGAAATTTACAGAACAATTATATTCATTTTCATTGATATTTCACAATTGTGAATATTCGAGTAAAAGAGAAAATATAATTTCTCACTATTTTCCATTTCTGTACAATATTGAATATCCTCGAAAAAAAGACAATTTTACCCCAGCAGAAAGTTGAGATTTACAGTAATACCCCTAGAAATCATCTTCTCCGTTGTTACGCCGGACACTGTAATTACTCTTCCAAATCCGGCGATACTGCAGTTTCCGATGATGCTTCCTCATAACTCTAGAAAACCCCCCATTCTTCACCGCCGACGCAGAATGCCGGCCAGATTTATGAGCGAAGGGCTCCACTTTCTCCGGTGCAAAAAAACCTTTTCCCATCTGGCTCAGAGTGTCCTCATACATGTTGAATCCAGTGAGAAGAATCCCATCTAACCCATGAACAACAAATCTCGACCCGACAAAAAGATTCGGATCGAAAACCCGAACTCCATCAATAGTGACGAAATCGTCGTCGCCCCTGTTCGTTTCCACCAAAAAATTGTAATGGGGAAGAAGGGTGCAAAGGTATGGGAAACAGGGGGAGTAAGGTTGCGGAGTTCACTGATTGTGAGTCGGCGAGAAGGGATGACGTGGGGACCTGTTAATTTGGGATGAGCGAAGACCAATAGGATTAATTTGGATATTTTAATTATGATTCATTTTAGAGGAAATTGGGTGGGTATTGGGTTATGGGGCAGATAATTAAGTTATGGGGTAAAAAAATGGGTCAAACGGGTAGTTCAATAGGATTAAGACACGTGTAAAAAAATAGGGATCCATTAGTGAGAGGGGTATATGTGTACCTATAATTGGACGGCAGGGGCTTATGTGGACGTAAAGTATAACGGAGGGCATATACGTACCATTTATTAAAGTTCGGGGGTAAATCCGTCTCTTTTCCCTAAATCTAATAATGATCTAACATATTCATACGTATGTACGGAGCCAGAATTTTAGCGAAACATATTCATACATACGTATGAATTTAATCGGGTTTCAATGTAAATATTGAACAACAAGTAAAAAACTAAAATAATAAATATACAAAAATAATTAAGAATTTAATATACAGTAAAACCTCACTAAATTAATACTCGGTAAATTAATAATCTCTCTAAGATAATATTTTCTTCTAGTCCCGAGTTGGGCCAATAGAAAGAATCACTCATTTTGATAAGATAATAAGATACTCCCTCCGTCCCATTTTATGTGACACTTTTCAGATTTCGAGATTCAAACAAGTCTATCTTTGACCGTAATTTTTTTCTAGATCTTTTAAACATTTTGAATTATCAATTATTGTGACTTATAGTACTTTTTATGTAGTTTACAAATATATAAATTTCATTTTGAAAAAAAATGAGGATTTCATGCGCAAATTTCCAGTCAAACTTAAACTGTTTCACTCTCGAAAAATAAAAAATGGCACATAAATTGAGATAGAGGGAGTAATATATTTTTAGAAGACCCCTATATAAATATATGATCCCATAAATATTATAAATTAATAACCTTTACAAGTACAAATATGTTTAAGATAATTTAGTGAAATATGATTCTATTTGTGTTTTTTTTTGTTAAAATTTAAATCTAGCTGAAGCTGATCTCTAACTTTTCTTATTGCATAAAAAAATTCTGGTGTTGTCTTTTCAAACTTCAGCATAAAATTGCGAAGAGTTCTAGATCTGATAAGTGTTTCCTTACGCGTAACTGGTTGCAAAAAGGTATTGTATCATCTTCAACTTCATCATCAACATTATTTTTTTTCCGATGGTATCCACAATTTCTTCTATGTAATGAACTTCTGTACATGTATCTCTTTCATCCGAGTAATCCAAAAGGTTATTGACGTCAACCTTTTAGCGGTAACCGGAATGATTAATCATGAACTCAAGTTCATGAATGACGTTTTCACAAAACACTCTTTAAATTAATAAATATTAATTTATTGATTAAATAATACATTTATAAAATAATAATATTTCATGGTCCCACCTATATTAATTTAGTGAGGTTTTATGTATGTGTTGTTGATGGTATGAATCCGTTAACATTTCAATTGTTGGATATATATATATAAGATTCAAACCACCTCATTGATATTAGAGGAACTTTCGCAAATAGCTACTATAATAAACTTAATTATGGTCTATAGATATAGTTTGCATATTTACGAACTGTAGCTACAATATAAGCTGCCTCGTTTGTATAATTCACGGATTTGTATAATTCATATGTTTGTATAATTCGTGGGTACATTTGTATAATTTAGTTATTTTGTATAAACTCGAAATAACGAATTTATACAATTACAAACATCAGAAGTGTAAACAGTTATACAAATTATATTATACAAATTTTGAATCATACAAAAATTATACAAATTATATTATACAAATTACGAATTATACAAACATGCGAATTATACAAAACTAAAAAGCTGAGCCGTGTAATTATAGCTTAAAGTAGGTCGTAACTTGTAATTAAGACAAACTATAGCTATGTTAAGTAATTAACTAGCATATATTTGCTTATACGCGTAATTTAGGTTTTCGCGCAAAATTATGCATAGAATCGTCGATATGGACTAATGTCAATTGTTGGATATATATAAGACACAAATCACCTCAGTGATGTTATTATGGTTAGTTGGGTTGTCCCACAAACTGATGCATAAAATCGTGAATATGGACTAGCTAGCTCTATTGGACTAGGCCGGCTCAATTCATGATTTGATAAAGATTAGATTAAGATTTTTGGTCCTCATTTAATGATTCGATTCGTCGTTACTAAAGGCATCTGGTATGAAATCTCAAAATTCTGGAATACAGTGCAAATATTAAATTTGAGCACTCGACCTCTACTCTCAACCCAAAATCCGACTCTGACACACAACTCGATACTCCATCCTAATACCTGATTCGGGACCCGATTCCGACCTAAACCAAAATTTGACCTCTAATCCTAACTTGAGATTTGACTATGATTCAATCCAGAACTTAGTTAAGTCTCGAATCTAGGTCGAGAGTCAGATTCATGATTTGTATAGAAAAACGATACTCGAGACTTGAATTAGGATGAAAAGTTGAGGTGTTAGGTTCAAAATAGGTTTTGGAAAATGTTTTTCTTACTTTTTAAAGATGAGTCATTTTCCTTAAATTTGAGGAAAATAAGTTAATTTGGAAAATATTTAAGTCAACCAAACATGAGAAAATTGAAAAATATTTTCGTTATACCAAACACCCATTATTAATTATTAGAACTCTTAGTATTTATTAATTAATTTGTAATTATCTTAGAGAATAGACTAATAAGTGATAAAATGCCCTAATATCAGTTCAATGTCTACACCTAATATCAGTTCAATGTCGACAATTGCACTTGTGATAAGTGATAAAATGCCCAACTCCCCAAAATGTAAATCAATTTGAAAGCTACATTATTTATATATCTTCTTCTAGACAAATTAAAATTAAAATTAAAATTAAAATTAAAATTAAAATTAAAATTAAAATTAAAATTAAAATTAAAATTAAAATTAAAATTAAAGGTAGTGAAGAAGAGAGCGATCCGTTCATTTCTCTCGTAAGTTTTTATTGAGTGGTAACTTAAAATTCGGAAAACAGGTAAGAAATACTGGACTTTCACCTCTCTCTCTTCCTATTTATATAGTACAAACCCTTCCAACTTGTAAAACAAATTAAAAAAGAAAAATCAAATCAATTTCAAGAAAAAAAAATATAATAAATTAGAGAGAAATGGCAAGCATGATGAATCTAGCACCTACTCTTACAAAGCTCCAAAATGCAGGAGCTATCATAGGACATAAGCCTTTAAGAACTAGGGTTTTTCTTGGTGCAACACCCAAACCTTTCCAGGTGATGATCATGCTTAATAGTAATGTTAATTTATAATATCCTTCATTTAAAAAACAATGATCTACTTTCATTTTTGGTCTATTTAAAAAAATGACCCTTTTTTTTGGCACACTTTACGTGGCATGTTTAAGTCACAGGTTAAATGTCATTTTGATATATTTGACATAACTTTAATTTAGAATCACAACATTGAAAAGTCTTATTTATTTTCTTAAACTATGTGCTGTCAAGTCAAACTAGACCATTTTTTTGAATCGGAGGGAGTACTTGCGATTACATTTCAAATAATCTAATAGTATAAACAACATTTATTGGCAATGTATGTTAAAACTCTATTTGAAGATTATATCTTTAGAAGTATGATGTAATTAGATAAATGTGTGTGTAATTAACAGGTAGGTAAACGACACCTAGGGATGGCATTTAAAGATGAGGCACGCAACGCAGCTGAAAAAGGAGTCGATGCAGCGAAACAAGGCGCTGAGACGGCCAAAAAAGCCGCCCAAGAAGTCACAAATGAGACTGCCTCTGTTGCTGATGAGGTAATTATTAACACTCTTAACGTTTCTGATGAGGTAGAAAGCAAAGGACGTACAACTCTGGTCATCTCCTACATTAGTCTCGTGGCATATGATGAGAATTACCTGCACCAATATGTATTGATACTGAATAAAATTACATATGATACACGTACATAGGAAGATCAATCTGATATAAATACCCTCGTACTAATTAATGAGTATTTAATTGACAAAATGTATCTGACAGGCGGTGAGGAAAACGAAGGTAATGGGAGAAAAGGTTGCGGATGCAGCACAAGACATGGCTGGAAAAGCAAAAGAAACAGCCCAAGAAGCATGGGGATCAGTTAAGGACACAACCCAAAAAGTGAAAGACACTGTGCTAGGCAAGGCTGAAGAATCCAAAGATGCTATTAAAAATAATGTGAACCGCACCATGAACAAGAATTGAAAAACTTTTAATTCTTGACACAGAGACATTATCTCTCATTCCTGCACCCTTTTTTATTATTTATTTGAATGTTTAAAGGTTTAAGTTTCTTTTGTTGAAACCGCAGACACAAGTTTGCTGAGTTTACCATATTTCTTTAGTTAGATATAAATACATTTATCTTTTATAATTCAAGGTGTAACAACACTGACACATCTCAAAGGTTGTGTCTATATAATATACATATAATTATGCTTCTGCTAATCAAAATTAGGGGTGTCAAATGGGTTGAAATAGAAATTGGGTTGGGTCATGACCTGCTCAAGTTTACTTTGGGCTCAAATATGCTTAAAATTCGGATTGAGTCATGACCCGCCCAATTTGACTTGTATTTAACTTTTATAATCACAATTTCAATTTTTACTCATTTTTTTTCAAGTTACAAATGGATAAATAAATCTTAACAGATACAAAATAGATAGTAATTCATACCTTCAAAATAGGAATATACATTACATCAATGCAAATAAAGAATTTTAAAACGGGTTGATCAAAATGGAGATTAAATTGGGCTCAATTAAGGATTCACTTAAAATGATTTTAAGACTTAGATTAGTTGAGATTGAACCTAATTTAAATTATCTTGAGCCCAACCCTTAAAATTATGGGCGAGTTGATCGAATTACCTATATTTAGGCTTATTTTTGACACCCTTTATCAAAATAGACATGTACATCAAAGAGAAGAATTATACTATCGCAATATTAGAGGTATAATTATTATTTACGCTTAATTATATACTTTTAAAGTCTGTTTCTGTAATTTAATAAATTGTTGTTAATGGTGAAAATATAGCAATCGATTATAAGTTGATATACCTAAACAAATGTTTAGGTTTATGGTGATTTTTCCTATAATTATAAACATATGACAACATTTACATTATCTAGTTTGATTTTTTGATTTTAAAAAATTAGCAGAAGTGTTCTCTCTCTCTCTATATATAAATCTGGTCAAAACATACAACTATGTATAATTTCCATACATTTTTTATGCATATAGTTTTTTGTTGTATACAAATTCGGACAAAACATACTATTTTTACAAATACAACTAATTTATGTCTAAAAAAACTTTTTTTTGGAGAATAATCTCTCTCTGAAACCCTACCACCGTCATCACCAACTTGCCTAGAATCGGTAACGATGGCCGCCACGGCCACTGGTCAACCTCCTCCTGAGGTAGGCCACTTCTTGGAGGCACATATGCTGAAAAGTTAAAACAAAAAATAGTTCATATTAAACCAATTCCGTTAAAATCAATTACATATTTGCATGGAGAACCACAAGTTATATGGGAACAAGAAGAGGTGGAGCAGATGATAGTCAATGAGAATCTGGAATATGCGGTGATTGGGAAGTTTTCGTATGGGTGGCCAGAAATACAAGATCTTAGGAAACTCATTCCAAAACAATGTGAGTTGAAAGGAGATTGCAATATAGGGCTATTAAGTAATAGGCATGTTCTGATCAGGGCAACACTATTAGAGGACTATGTTCATCTGTTGTCGAAGCCTGCATTTTATATCACTCAAAACAATTGGTCTTTTTCAATGAGAACTTTGAAGTGGGATCCTTTGTTTAATCCAGAGGAGGAGACGACCACTGCGATAGCCTGGATTTCTTTCCCTTCTCTTCCACCAAACTTTTTTGGCAAGGAAGCAGTATTTTCATTAGCAGCAGCCATGGGAAACCATTATAGGTGGATATGGCAACAAAGAATCAGACGAGACCAAGTTGTGCACGAGTTAAAGTGGAAGTGGACTTACTAAGGAAGTTCCCAAAAAGAATTAAAATCGGGATGATGATGAAGAATGAAGAAGTGGTGGAGAAATGGGTTAAAATCAAATATGACTATGTCCCCAAATACTGTCAGACTTGTATGATTCAGGGGCATGACGAACAACAATGTTATGTTGTGCACCAAGATTGCACCCACACAAGGAGAAACCAGATTATGATGAAGGAAAAAAGATTGAAGGAAAGCACAACATGGAGGCCAACAAAGATAAGGACATAAAGGGTAAGGAAAGTGAAGAACAACAAGGGAGAAAAGAAAGTGAATTCGTGGAACAAAGATACAAAAAATGGGGAGGAGCTGGAAGGTATAAGGAACCCACAAAAGTGTGGAACAAAGTAGGCATTGTAACAAGGAATAAGTTCAACTTGCTGGAAACAGGTCATCAAAATCGAGAGGAAGATCAGTAAAATGAAATGATGAATGAAAAAGATGCAGCACTGGAAAGTGGAAAGTCCAAAGTTAATTCATCAGGGATACAAAAAAGTAATAACAAAGAGCAGCTGGAAAAAAGAAGTACTCCTCACAAAGGTACAGATAAGACGGAGGAAAGAGGCACAACACACAATAAACACACGTCAGGGGTAGATCGATGCAAAATAACAAAACAGGTGAAGATTCAATCAAAAGAGGTACATGAGATGCACAATGAGGAAATGATGGTAGAAAATAGGGAGGAAGAGAGTAGTCACATGATACGAGAAGACAGTGTTACCACACCAATCAGGTTGTTTGAAACAAATTCAGGAGAGCTAAGGGATAATTTTGATGTAGAAGTTGACATACTAAAAGGTCCAGACTTAATAGAGGAAGAGGATGAAGTAATGCAACAGAAAAAAGACACTGAAGAAGATGGGGATATGGAATATAACATTCAACAGATTAGCAAGGCGGGAGATTTATCTCCAAGGCACACCAACAGTTTGAAAAATGGTGCGCGAAAAGGGAGATCATTTATTCCATTACAAGTTAAAACAAGGAGCAGTCGGGAAAGGGGTACCAATAGTGATAAATTAAAAAAATGATTTTTTGGAATATCAGATCCGTTAATACTCAAAAGTCATTTGAGAGGTTAATGGATTTGAATAGAAGACATCATTATGCATTTATAACTTTGATGGAACCGTTTCAGAATCCAGCAGAGCTAGAACAGTATAAAAGGAAACTAGGTTTTGATAAGGCGGGAGTAAATTGTAATGGTAAAATATGGTTCTTTTGGAATGATGATTGGGTGGGCAGTATTATGCTGGACAGAATACAACAAGTTACAATTCAATTCAAACATAATAATAAGGAGTTTGTTATATCGGTGGTCTATGCTAGATGCAATGCTTTAGAGAGGTTGGAGTTGTGGGAGAAGCTAAATAGCATAGCAGAAAGAGTGCAGTGTCCTTCGGTCATTGGAGGAGACTTTAATGTTATTTTAAATGAGGAGGAAAAGCTAGGGGGATTAGCGTTTTCTCCCAACGAAGCCATCGATTTTGTAGCTTTTATTAGTAGTGGTGCCCTTTATGAAGTGAGTTATACATGCAGTAAATTTACATGGTGGAATGGACGAATTGAGGAGGTGTGCATTTTTAAAAGATTGGATAGAATATTGGTGAACCAAGAATTTATGGATGAGTTTCCTTCATCTGAGGTACATCATCTTGTCAGGCAAGGTTCTGATTATGCACCGCTTCATGTGATATGCAATTCAGAAGAGGAACCTATGATAAAGCCTTTTCGATTTCTGAACTTGTGGAGTAAGCATAAAATGTTTAAGAAGATTGTTGCAGATAATTGGAAAATTGATTTTGTTGGAAATCCGTTTAATGAATTTCATGCAAAATTGAAGAAGGTCAAAAAAGCTTTGTCAGTATGGAGCAGAGAGGTATTTGGTGATATTTTTCAACAAATAGCCATGATAGAGGACATCATTAAGGCAAAGGAGGCGCAGATGGAGATGCATCCATCAACAAGCAACATGCCTAAACTAAGTAAGGTGGAAGCGGAATTAAAGAAATTTTTGGGATTGGAGGAGGATTTTTGGAGGCAGAAAGCGAGAATGAAGTGGTTCACTGATGGGGATAGGAATACTAAATTTTTCCATTCGTATGTTAAGGGGAGAAGAAAGAAATTGCACATTGCTGAGATGATCACAGAGCAAGGTATGGCGCTAAAAACTAATGAGGAAATTGGGGAGGCAGCAGTACAACATTATAAGGACCAATTTACTGAAGAGAGTATGGCAAATGATTACTCAATGTTGGAAGATATTCCCAAGTGTGTAACTACCGCAGAAAATGAAGAAATGACAAAGCTACCAGATCAAGAAGAAGTTAAAAAAGTGGTGTTCGATCTAAATGGATGCAATGCAGGTGGACCAGATGGTTTTACAGGTCATTTCTTTCAAAGTTGTTGGGAGATAATTGGAGAAGATATTACCAAGGTGGTGAGGGCGTTCTTTTGTGGGCACGAACTGCCCAAGTTCGTAACTCACACAAATCTGATTTTGTTGCCCAAAAAAGCAGCAGCAAAAAAGTTCAAACATTTAAGGACCATAAGTCTTAGTTCCTTTATAAATAAAATTATCTCCAGGATGGTGCACGAGAGGATGTTATTGGTGCTTTCTAATCTTATATCGCCAACACAAACATGCTTTGTTAAAGGAAGGAGCATTACGGAGAATATTTTATTGGCACAGGAGATAGTAAGAGACATAAACAGGAGGAACAAAAATATTAATGTGGTTGTGAAGTTGGATATGACCAAAGCATATGATAGAGTTTCTTGGATTTTTCTAACAAAAGTCCTTAGAAAATTTGGCTTTGCAGAGGCGATCATAGATATGGTATGGATAATCATGTCTAACAACTGGTATTCAGTGCTAATAAATGGCAAAGCACATGGATTTTTTCCAATCCTCAAGAGGGTTGAAACAGGGTGACCCCTTATCTCCAACCCTATTCATTATTGCAGCAGAGGTACTCGCCAGAGGACTAAATAACTTACAAAGCATGAAGGGCTATGGTCTTCCAAAATGGAGTCCGCAGATAAATCATTTGTCTTATGAAGATGATACCATTCTATTTGGGTCAGGAGATAGAGGATCAATAATAAAAATGATGAAGGTGTTAAGAGACTATGAGCTGGTTTCGGGACAAAAGATTAACAAAAACAAGAGTTTCTTTTACCTTCATGATAATACTCCATTGATTGTATCCATTAGAATGCGTAGATTAACCGGAATAAGACAAGGAAATTTTCCTTTTACCTACTTGGGCTGTCCCGTGTTTTATGGAAGAAGGAAGATGAGTTATTATGCAGAAATGGTTAAAAAGATTGCCATGAGGGTCCTATCACGGCATAACAGATTTTTGACTTTTGGTGGAAAATGGGTGCTAATCAACAATGTATTACAATCCATGCTTGTATACATGTTATCAACATTGAACCCACCCAAAAAGGTGTTGGAGCTAATACATCAAATTTTTGCGAAATTCTTTTGGGGAAATATGGGAGGAATTAAAGGAAAGCATTGGGTGGCATGGAAGGAGTTATGTTTTCCAAAGGCTGAAGGTGGTCTTGGATTTAGATCATTACATAATGTAAATGATGGTCTATTTGCCAAATTATGGTGGAATTTTCGAGTATACACAAAATCATTATGGGCAAAGTACATGTGGAATAAATACTGTAAGAAATTTCACCCAGTGATTGTCACGAGTTCTGGTGCATCACAGATATGGAGGAAAATACTCAACATTAGGGAGGAAGTGGAACATGACATTTGGTGGCAGATCAAAGCTGGGAACTCAAGCTTTTGGTTTGATAATTGGATTAGGCAAGGAGTTTTATACTATACAGAAGGGGAAAGGGCTCAGGAAGAGGAACTAGAGGTGAAAGATTTTATCATAAATGGAACTTGGGATGAGAATAAATTGAAAATTTTTATATCGGAAGAGATGGTGCAACATGTAGTTACAAATATCAGACCTAATGTTTCAAAACTTTGTATCGATAAGGCATGGTGGAGAGGTAGCTCTACTGGTACATTTACTATTAAATCAGCATTCCATATGGTGAGATGCATGAAGGCAAAAGAGGATTGGAGGAGTTTCATGTGGGTCAAAGGGCTGCCAATTAAGATTAGTTTTTTTCTTTGGAGAGTGTGGAGGAGGAACCTTGCCACAGATGACAATCTTAAAAGAATGAGGATACAAGTGGTGTCCAAATGCTATTGCTGCGAATATGGAAAAATGGAGACTATGTCTCACCTTTTACTAACAGCTCCCATAGCCCAAAAGCTATGGAAGCAGTTTGCTTCATGTGCAGGTATCACTATAAGAGAGTTAAACTTACAACAACTCATTTTCAAATGGTGGGAACATAGAGCATCGAATAAGTTAGAACAAATACTGAAGGCGGTTCCAGCAGTCATTATGTGGGAATTGTGGAAGCGGAGAAATGCTCACAGACATGGAAAGGAAGTACCTTATAACAGGTTGTATTATTAATGTTAATTGAGTATACACCAATTGATAAGGAGAAAATTTATGTGGATCAAAGCAATGCCATATTATTGGCCAGAAATGGTAGAGAAGTTACAGAAATACAAACCAATATTACATTATCATTTGGTCAGTTGGAAACCACCAAGCGAAGGATGGGTAACATGCAATACTGATGGAGCCAGCAAAGGGAATCCGGAGAAAAGTTCTTATGGGTATTGTGTAAGGGATGGAAGGGGAGACCTTATATATGCAGAGGCACATAATATATGCGAGGCCACCAACATGGAAGCTGAGGTAATGGCAGTGTGGAAAGCATTACATTATTGTCTGGAAAAAGACTTTAGCCTAGTGCGTCTGGAAACAGATTCATTATCGTTAAAAGATATGATAAATGGGAGCTGGAAAATACCATGGGAAGTGAGTGAGAAAGTGGAAGATATTCAGCAAATCCATCAGAAAATAAATGTAGAGGTGTGGCATGTATTTAGAGAGGCGAATCAATTAGCAGATTTTATAACTAATACAACAATCAATACAGAGCAGAAGCTAATTTTTCAGAGCTTTAATCAGCTACCAAGGCAAGGTAAACATATTCTTAACATTGATAAACATCAGGTCCCTTCAGTCAGGATAAAAACAAGGAGAATTTACAGCAACAACAATGGTCATCATGCTTAGATACAACATAGAAGTTACAGGGTTCCACAGCTATGATATGTACAATTTAGATGCTATCTACTTCTGGAACAAAAAAGCTGTAAAGGAACTAATCCTAAGCTATTTCAGCCAGCAAACAGTGGTACATGGACTAGCAAAAGGTGAGAGTCTAGGAGTTGTATCTGAATCCAAAACGAGCATCCAACAGAGAAATCGAGGTGAAGAAGCACGGGAGTTCCTTGAGTCACTCCTATTCGGCTGCAACTGGAAAACAACAAAGGTCAGAAGTTTGAAGAAGGAAAGAAAGAAGAAGAATAAGGAGGAGAAAGGGTTCTTACACGGAAATTCAAAGCTGAATGCAAGGCTCACGCTCTCTATTGAGCTCGACAAGAAATCATACCGAAAATTACACCTACAAGAAAGAAAGAATCAGCCTATTAAAAGAGAAGGACGGAGAAAACCAAAAGTAGTGGAACATAAACCTTTGAGAGCTAAAGATCTCAGCACTCTTCATCACCAATTCGTGAAGGATGTTGAATACCCAAAGAAGAAGGAACAAAAAGTCAGCATTGAAGAACACCATGGAGAACATTCTCAAGCAGCGTGCAGAGAAGAAGAAGTAAGGAAGAGGAGAAAGTGGAAAGTGAGTGAGGAACAAATTAGGAAACCATACCTGTTAGGGTCTTTTATTATTGAACTGGCTGTACGGGCTTGGGCTTACCAATGTCCAATGTGTTATTTTCTGCTTTGGTTACAATATTAGCCCATTGAGGCATAAATAAAGGGACCCCAGATCCAAATTTGATATAAAAGAAAACTAATTTATGTCTTCCTATTAAAGTCTCAATATGAAGTTTCAATAATAATTAACTCTAATCATCGCCAAACTCCTTTAGAATTGAGATATAAACCCCAAAGAATATTTTTAATCGTTGGTAACAACTAACAACACTAAGTTTAAACAAATAACAATTTCGAAAACACCTATTATTTCCCTTATTTGATTTCAAAGCTTTGAAACTTTTTAATGGGTCTTTAATTACAATACCTTCAATGTTTAATTGTTCATGTGATTTTGTTGTAATTTCGCCATTGATAGGCCATTCCTTTTAATCTACGTGATCTGAAAGTGAAAAAGTGAACTCTCACTACGGTTATAACTCATCAAAGGTTTGAAGTTGAAATGTTTTTTCCCTTAAATTTTACAATGAACTTTCGATTACAATTCACTTAATCATGTTCTTATTTCAAAAGATAGGGGGAGAGAAAATGGAGATGATTGGAGCCTAAAATAGAAAGACTACAACCTAATCTCTTACTTATAGAGATGCTTATGGGTGGTTCAATTTGATTTTATATATGTTCTAAACTGCTATCAAACTAATAAGATATCAGTTGATTTGATTCGACTTAACATTTATTCATAGGGTTATCGATTAATCGATTTATCTAGTATAAAAATTAAATCAAAGAAAGAATAAGTTTTATGTATTCCACCGATAACTTTTACTCCAACGACTTGAAACCATCGGATGCTATCGTTGCTTTCGGTGGAGAATATTGTTAGTAGCCAAAGGCGATGGTAGTTGGGGTGAGCAACAAATAGAGATAAATGTTTTGGGGTAAAGGGATTAGAGTGAAACAGTATTATTGATTCGGTTTGCGCATGACAAAGTGTGTGACCATCTCATCTAAAAGCTTAAGCTGTTAGAGAGAGCACACTTTTATTATTTAATTATATTCTCAACACTCCCTCCTCACGTGCGAGCCTAATTTTTTTCATGGGCCAGTGGAAGTTATTTTTAATTTTGGGTGGCGTGAGATTCGATCTGAAGATCTTTGCCTGCTCTGATAGCAAATTGTAGGAAATATAGAAGGAGGACACTTTCTCAGTGAATGCTCAAGTTTTATATAGGCTACTTAAGGCCACTTGAGATGATTAGAATCGAAAATTACATCTTTATTTATACTAACAACAATGTAAAACCAAAGATCTTGTACAAATAACTATATATATATGTATCACAATTTACTAGATACATGTATTACAAAATTCTAAAAGACTTCTTTAAAAACTAAGAGACAATATTGGAAGACCAAACATCAAGGTGTGAATGCATTAATTTCAACACTTCCCCTTAGTACATTTTGCTTGACAACTCCAATGTCTTCTCGAATATAGCAAAGCTTTTCTCTTGGAAGTGCTTTGGTGAAGATGTCAGCAAGTTGTTCTCCTGTCTGACAATAATTACAACGGAATTTCGCCCTTTCTTTTGTGCTTTTGAATATCTCCTTTTTGATTGAGTTTGGTTTTGTAAATCCATTTTTGACGTACAACTTCCCTTTATTTGGGTGTAGTTACACACTCCCAAATATTATTTTTCTCAATCATCCGAATTTCTTCTCCCATGGCTTTCTTCCAAACATCATGCTTTATTGCCTCATCATAATTTTCTTGCTCAACACCGACAAAGTTGCATCTTTGATATATGTCACTAAATAGTTTTGTTCCTCTTGGAGGTGGTTCTTCATCATCTGAATATGAGATTTCTCCCTCTTGAGGAACATCTTCATCTTTCTTTTCCTCATCCTCTTCTTGATTTGACACATCTAACGATATGATAGAAGTATTCTCTACCTTAATCTCAGTATGTATCTCAGGAAGGCTTTGAACCATGTCTTTTTGCTTGAGAAGCTTCAAACCATGAAAATTCAAATGAATTTTTTTGTGCCAAAACCATGATCATCTACAACTTCATTTTTTAATGCATTGTAAAGAAAAATTTCTTGTTATCATCTCTACTTCAACAATGACTTGATTTGGCTCAGTTTTATCATAAATCTTGCGATAATTATCTCTAAAAACAAGAGAATAACCAGTTTTCATGAGTTGACCAACACTAAGCACATTTTCTTCCAAGTCAGGAACACAAAGAATATCATGAATTTGCTTGCCGCTCTCTTTTATATTGATCGAAATGGTACCTTTACCTTTTGCATCAACTAAGGCTCCATATCCCATTCTCATTTTAGTAGTGATGCTACTATTAATTGAGAGGAAAGCCTTTTTATCTCCGGTCTACAACCGCTATCAACATACCATTCATTGCTTTTTGCTAAAGCATCAGATTAAGAAGCAAAGAAAAGGTTTTCTTCCTTTTCTTCCTCCCGTTCTTCACACAAAAAATGATTGCTCCCGTTTCTTGTGCTAGTAATCCTTCTCAATGTGGACAAACTCTTTACAAAAGTTACATTGGGGTTTGCCTTTGTGTCAACATTTTTCTGCATTGTGATTATTTTTTTTGCAATTTTTTTTAAAAAAAGACTAGAACTTTTCTCTCATTTTTCTTCAACCTTCTTAGAGGAACCATCATGATCCTGCTTTTTTTTTCGATTGTAATTCTTCTTTTGTTTATTTTGAGAATTCTCATTGGTTCTGGACTGGAAAGTTGTCTCTTTGGGTTGATTTTCACGAAAAAATCTTCGCTTCTCGTGTGCACGAAATGATCCAACTAGCTCTTTGATGGAAAACTTAGAAAGATCTTTCGTCTCCTTAGTGATAGCAACAATGTACTCATACTTTTCTGTGACACTTATTAGAATCTTTTTCATAACTTGTTGGTCACAAATTGTATCACCATGATTTCTTATTTCATTGACAATATTCACGACTCTTGTGCAATATTCATCTATTTTTTCAGATTCTATCATCTTCAAATTTTGAAACTCTCTTATAAGAGTTTGAAGATTTATAGAGCGTACATTTCCGTTACCATACACCTCAGTTTCTAGAGACTACCAAGCTTATTTTGCAGTCGCAGAAGTAGTAATTTTTGCAAAATATACTCTTGAGACTCCCATTTGGATTTTGGTCAAGGCTTTTGCATCTTCACGATACTTAGCCTCAAGATTTTTTATCTCTAAGTTCAGCATCGTTTTCTGGCTCTTCATAGCCATTTGCAACAATAGTCCACAAACTTTCAGCTTTTAGATGCATTCTCATTCTTATCTTCTGGTATTAATACTTCATTTCCCTCTGTCTCAATTTATATGACTCACTTTTCTTTTTAATCATTAAAAAGAATGATAGATTTCTTTAAGTAGTTTCTTTAATTTTAAATATCCATTTTACCCTTAATGAAATAATTTAAAGCGACATAAATATTTATGACTTATTATAGACCACCAATTTCAAAGGTCTTTTTTTTTCTTCTTAAACTCTGTGCCAAGTCAAACTAACTTATATAAATTGAGATAGATTTAAACCTTTAGAAATGATTCTTGGACGAGCACTTCTTTAAATTTGACTACATTATTATTGCCAAATTTGTTTGTTCAAATATATATATATATATATATATATTATATACTATTAAAAAATAAAAAGAAAAGCAATGAGTATCGTGGGTTTTCTTTGATTGACCACTTTAACAATGTTTACTAGTTAAATAAAATTTTCAATTGATTTACCAATCTAGGAAACACAAAGCATCATTAAAGATAAAGGATGAAAAAAAACTGACTTAATAACATATAAACATCATAACCTTTTATTTTGTAATCTAAAACCTCATAAAAACAACAAGTGACTTAATAAGAAAAGGCAAGAATTGACCATAATAGAAGACTCTATCACTGGTAAAGTCTTCTCGAGTCATAGCTTGAATTTCAAGAACTGCAATTATCAACTCCATTATAATTTTGAGTTCAAGATCCCTCATACTCTTCTGGCTCAGGGGCGACATTTAAATCAAACTTCAGATGCTAGCACTTTGTATTTCTTTTTTAATTTTCTCTACCCGCAACTTCAATGCCAGCTTCTGCTCCTCCATGTGTTTATCTGAAGGTATTTCTGAGCCACGGTGCATAATCTTATGCATTAGTATTCGTTTTTTCTCTTTTTCGTTCAATGCTTGCAATTCTTTATGGAGATCTTCCAATGCCTCAAAACCATTTGATTTTCCCTCAGCATAATCACATTTGCGATCCTTTTGTTTCACTTTGAGAAATTTATCAATTATTTCTTCTATGCTTGTAGAGCCATAGGAACATGATTTTCCACTTGGTGAAAAGAGCATAACACCAACATATGTTCCAGTCTGAGTTGCAAACTTATTTGCATCCTGGAACAAAGTTTTTTTTCTTTTTGAGAAACTCACCATACGGGCTCTCTCAGTCTCAATCAACTTCATTTCAATTTTTTGCTTGCCTTTTTTGGTCTCATTTTCCATTGGAAAGAAAAATGTAGAATAAAGTAAGATGTTTTTGTTGAATAAGACTGAACAATTTTAAGAAGAACATTTGTGTAATTTATAGTAGGTGCATGAGTGTACTCTCACGAGTATTATAATGTTTTCTTGTTATGACTCTAGCTAGCTATCACGTGTATTATCATGTTTATTTAATGCTTTCAGATTATGATCGAGTCTATATATCACGTGTATTATCACATTTGTTTAATGCATTCATATTATGAGTCTATTATCACATTTATTTAGTATTTTCATATTATGTGATTTTATTACAAGATTACCTTGTAACTCAACAAAAATTATGAAGTTGCAAGGTAATAATATCGAATTGAATTTAAAGACAAATAAAAAATAAACAATGCTTACATATCTAACGTTAATTCAAAAGGTGGACCAATTGAAACAATAGTAGAGTTGTCTATTTGTGACCAATATGTCACAAGTTCAACTCGTAAGAACAACCACTAATGATAGTCTCAATTGTGCATCACAAACCAAATCCTTATTTAGATTATACTAATCTAAATAACATGATTCATGTCTTATGCCTCTACAAGAAATCTCATCCCAAGAATACTACTTCTTACAAATGCATTCAACAAAACTTCGAATCCTAATAAAAAAGTGCCTAATGCATCTTGTATTCATCCTCATGTTATAAACACCACATTCAACCCTAGAACTATAACCACTCCATGGAATCCTACTAACTAATCCTTCTAAGAATTTCTCATTCTCTGACCATCTTTACCAACTGAAATTTCACACATAACTATCAAGAAATTGACTAAAAAGGATCACTAAGGGAGTTTAGCGAAGAATCATAAGCACGATTCATTCGAGAAATATGATATAAGAATATGAATGACGTAACATTATGTTTATAGCCATTGAAAGTAAATCATGAATTCACGAGACTGAGCATACTATGAGACATGAGTGCTTATATGAATCGGTTCACATTATAAGGTTGATATATCCATAACTTTATGGAGTAAGATTGAGATCAATGAGCTAAAGGATTTGCCTTTCATTCTCAAAACTGAGCATAGATGTGAATCTGTATGAAGTCTGTGAGCATAGGTCATGGACATAAAATTATGATATTAGAAACATTAATAGGATGTTATAATGACTGAACTTTGAGGAACATGTTAGAGTATGAATGCATTGATATAACACTATAACTCTTTCTGAACACATCACTATCTGATTCTTGACACTTGACTTGGTTGCTCATCTTATCATCTCCCCCTTAGGTATAAAGCTGATACTTTGAGGATATGGATATATTCAATCTTTCCTAAACTAGTCTATATTCAATTTACTCTAATACTCAGGAGAGGCTAATCTCATGACTTCTAAACTTTCCATGTGTAGGTACTAAGATTCCTTTTAAGACCCTCTTAAACTTTCCTTTATTGTCTTATAAAGATGTTTAGTCTAACTCTTAATAGTTTGACTTCTCCTTCTTAGTCTATAAATACCGCCTCTCTAAGTTCATATCTACCTAACTAGAGGAAACTTGAATTATATTTAAGCGGCTCATCATTCTCTAGGCTACATAAAATCTCTTTTACCAAACTTGTAAGGGTAATAAATAAGAGGTATGTAAGCTTCTATAGTGTTGGGTTTGTTCACTCACACGTCAATCATGAGTTTATTTTGCGAATCTATCCATAAATATTGAGCAATTTAATTTCTTGATGAGTTCTTGATTAGTGTTCTTGAAGTTTCCTTATCGATTAAGTTTTGATGTAAGATTCTACTTGGGTCAACTTTAAACGACCATATCTCTTAGAAAATAGAGAGTTACGCGATCCACAACCTATGAAATTAAAGGTATTTGAATCTACTTTCCAACGCCACCAATTTCGCGTCAATCCAATTTCTGAGTAAAAAGTTGTGACTATTTTAGTAACCTATACAGTGCTGTTACGAATTAGCCGACGGGAAAACATTAAAAAGTGTTTTTTTTGATTTTTTACCCCCAAGAAAACCCTAAACGAATTTCTTGACCAATAAAAGGCTCAAAACAATCAGATTTTCATATTTTAATCAATCATTCTCTTTTCTCTCAAACCCTAGGGCAAAACCCTAAGGAAAAATCAAAGTAGAAGACTACATTCAAGATTCTTTCAATCTTTTTCAAGATTTTGCTTCAAGGTAAGTCTTTTTCCAAGAATTTCATTTTTTTCAACTCAAATTCCTCAGTACAATTATGAATCACTAATGAAAATCATAATTTTTGGCCATAGAGATTTCAAGAAACTAATTCAAGAATCTGAAGAAAGGTTTTCTTGATCGTTTACCTTCAAGTTAGGGTTTCAAGGCTTCTAATCAAGTTTTTCTTCAAGATCCTTTTAAGATTCTTCAAGAACCTTGTTCTTCCAAGTATGTAAGGCTATCATAGTGTTGGACTAATTCGTCCTCACGCCCTACATCTACTTTCAAATCAGTAAAAGAGAAATCTAGGATTCTACCCCTAGATTTGAGTATTGTTTAGATATATAAGTTGATTTTGAGTTCTTGAGTTCATGTTTCTTTTAAAAGTTCTATTCCTAATTATCAAATTGCTTATATTTGTTTATTGAGATCCTTCATATCATGAATCATAAACTCTTGAATTCATAATTCAAGAAAGAGTTAAGAGTAGAGTTCAAGAAAGTCTTTGAGTTCAATTGTGAATCCTTTGAGATCAACTGTCAATTTTAGATAAGTTTTGAGGAAGTAAGTATGAGAATGAGAAGAGTCGTATATCTGAGTTCCATATTGTTACTTAGACCCTTGAGTCGAGTTGTTCATGCCTATAAATTCCGCACGAACTCCATCAGTTAAGTATCTTTGAGAGGAGTAATATCTTCAAGTTCTAAGTCTTGAGTATTGAGTTCCTAATAATTTTGGGATTATATTCCTAATCACAGGGATACTACATGTTATCCATGAAGGTCCTTGAGTTGAGTAGTTCATGCCCATAATTCCGCATGAACCCTCTTAGTCGAGCATTCTTGAAACGAGTATTACCATTGAAGTTCTTGAGTTGTTGAGTCTCGAGTATTGAGTTCTATGTATGGTTATTGAAAACCTTGAATTGAGTCGTTCACGTCCATAATTCGGCATGTACTTATTTTGAGAAGCCTTTTACAAATTTTTCTAAACTTGTTTTAAAACTGAGCACTTGAGTTGAGAAAGAGCCGAGTTGAGTTCATTTTCTTTAAAATGATATATGGGAACAAAGTATTCCCAAGAGTAAATGTTTTACACTTAAGATGAGAGAAAACTGAGATTTCCAAAAGAGTTTTTGAGCAGTTTTGAGTATCATCTCCTTTAAGAGAAAGATTTTGAGTAATAATCTCAAACCACATAAAGAGTTATGTTTTTAAACATATGAGCTAGTATATTTTGGGAGTAGTATTGAGAACCAATATGGGGGAAAGTTCAGATAACTCATAGCCCGCATAAACCATGTAGCCAACGTGGGTAGAAAGGGTCATACTTTTTAGTTGATTTCTTAATTCATTTTAGCATAGACTAGTGGATCCACTTAGCGAGTAGGTCTTATACCCTAGCAAAGTATAGGACAGTTCTGGCAGCATGTGCGAGACATTGTATCATCACAACATAACTCATAGTGATGGTTTTCGGTTAGAGAAACTTCCACATAGATATTTGTATTTTTATATACACAGAGTTTACTTGTATTTTCATATACAAACAGAGTTTATATTGTATCCTTGCATACAAACTGAGTATATTGTATACTTAAATATATTGAATTGCTTTCTACTGTTTTAAAAGCTTTCCATATATTGCATCTCTTATTGTTGGTTTATATTGAGTTGAGTATTCAGAGTTTGAGTACCAAGAGTCGAGTGTCTTATTATTGAGTTGAGCCTTATTTCACTGAGTTGAATATTTTATCTTTGAGTTGAATATCTTATTTATGAGTTGAATTGAGGTAAGTATGTTTCCTTTTTATTAAGTTCAAATTTATGTTATGCTTTAGAATTCCCCTTACATGCTCGTACATTCCAAGTACTGAGCCATTTGGCCTGCATCGTTTCATGATGTAAATACAGGTATTCAGGGTCATCAACATGCACTTTGTTGATACCACATGCAGTTCGAGTTAGCTATGGTGAGCCTTCTTGCTTCCGGAGGGTTCCACTTGTACTTTCAGTTATATCAGTTGTTAGGATGTCATGGGTCTTGTTCCGACTTCCATCTTTGTCAGTTAGAGGCTTTATAGATAGACAGTAGAGTTTGTGAAGTCTGTTTCATTTATCTTGTTAAATGTTTTAAAGACTTGAGTTGCCTAGTTTTGGGCTAGTTGAATATAAAATTATATTCTGAGTTAATTATTTGAGTTTCAATGAATTTTATTAAGTTTTTAAGCTTTGTATGCTTAAATTAGTCTTCCGCTTGTAGTAAGCAAGGATGAGGGTTCGCTTGGGGACAAACAATGGTTCTCAAGTGCCGGTCACGTCCAGGGTGTAGGCTTGGGTCGTGACAACCCCTTCCATCCCAATCAAACCTCCTCAAACTATAATCTGCACAGAAATCAGCCCAACCTAACGGTTCTTCAATACACAACTCACAAGGCACAATGATCATAGTTCTATAGTTGCAGGTCAACAACCAACACGAAATAAGTAGGTCAATATCAAGGTCAAGTAGAGCAATCACACATAACATGTGTATCAATCGCAATTAACAAGTAAGTCATACATAAGAATTAAAATGTATTAAATCACAATAATCAATCTCCCGTCAGAACCGTGTTCCATTGGTACAATATCAAATCACTAGTCAGAACCATTGCCCATCGGCTTTATATCAAATCACTAGCCAAAATTATTTCCCATTAACTTTATATCAAATCACTAGGCGAAATCATTTTCCATCGACTTTATATCAAATGATTAGCCGGAACCATTTCC